CCGAGCTCCATATTTTTTAAAATGAATATGTGGAAGAGCTGCAAAATTTAACAGGTTGGGCACAGTTCGTTTTTCGAGGAAGTATTACTACAAAACGGGATTATTCCTCTTTTCAGTAATAAAAAACTTTTCTATATATGGGAATTTTCATCATATTTTTAAAAAATGCCCCATATCCGTTTATTAAATAAAAACTGCATGACAAATACTGTGTGATGTGTTTAACTTTAGTAAACGCACCTCGCTGACAAAAAAATTCTTACATAATACATTGAATAAATATTAGTAGACATTTACTTGCGATTTTTTGTCTTTTTAAAATAAAAAGCAAAATTGTGAAAAGTTGCCTTAAAATAGCTATATAAAGCTACCTGAGGTAGGTAAATAAAGTTACGGTACTGGTAGGTAATTTTAGCTACGTAGCTAAATGTACTGTACCTACATCTGTGGAGTTACAGCTAAGTAATTTGTAAATTCAAGTGAATGGCATGGACTTGTCTTGCATGAAACATAATATATTCCTCTTGTTTGATTCTACCTAAGTAAAGGGGGAGATGAGGCATGTAGGATTTTGTCAGTTTTGCAATGCAGCAATCAAAATTTTGTGTTGTGGTGGTACAGCAAGCACATCACATTAAAGAAGGAGATGTGTGTATGCTTATGATAAGTTTATGGTCGTTTTGGCATGTCATGCTTGCAAATCTGTCAAAGTAATAAAGGTGATGAATAATCTTGAAAGTGTTGTGTGATATTTTTTTATAGTTGCATTTTAGGTAATGTTCAAATACCATCACATGCATGCTTATAGAAAGTTTAAGTTTGCATAAATCAGGCATCCAATGTTCTGTACATACAGTTGTTTTACCAATAAGGAATATTTGTCAGTATAATAATTTATTTTTCATATAATTATTCTTGAAAAACTGTTTGACTCATTTAAAAATGTTTTAATAAATGGGTAAATAGTTATTATACAGTAAAAAGATGAAAATTGATAATTCTACCCTGTGTAATGTCATTGCATCATCTATATGATTATTTTTAACAGTATTTTAGGAATGACTCTAATTCTTGGCCAAATTATTCGAGTATTACAGTAAAACACGCTTATAACGAATTGACGCTCATAGCCACGTGATTTTCATTCCCCATGACTCGGAATATATTGTTAACTTATTAGATATAACGGATTATGCTTATAACGAAGCAAAATAATCCCTCCCTGGCACTCTGTTATAAGCATGCTTTACTGTACCTGGTTTGGGTTAGTTTACGCTTTATGATCTGCGAAATTGATTATAAAACAGCATAAACTGACCCAAACCAAGTTACACTCAAATAATTTGGCCAAGAATTAGAGTCTTTCCTTATAATTTAAAATCATTAAACAACTGTGGGTGTAGAATTTCGTTGCTTTTTACTAGTTCAAATATGCCGCTCAATAATACAACCATAGTAACGGAAGTGATGGGAAGTGAGGGATCTAGAAACTGATACATTGGCCTAGCAGCCATGTTGTTTGTTTACATTTGGTAAGATCAAGTTACTGGTTGAAGTTAATGGTACATTTATTAAATGTGGAATTTCCCATCAATCCCGAGGACTGGAAATGAGAGTATTGCATGGGTACAGATGATTCACCTGGTTGTCGGGGGTGGGGGGGGGGGGTCCCCATACCAAACCAAGTTATACAGATATAGTTTGTATTCCTTTGGGATATTAATCAATCAGAGGCTAGAATACAAACAGAATTAAATTATTAAATCATTTGCAATTTAAAACAAATGAACATGCACATGTGCAAGACGTAGAAAATGAATTCTAAGTGTAAACAAATGCATTTAAATCGAGATTTTCAGTGTATGAGGAGACCCATATGAAAATATGTGATTTTACAGTAATAGTTCTCATGAACAACCTTCCAATAAAATAGAGTCTTGGATTTCTGCAGATTTTCATCATCTTGAAAATAAATGATTTCTTTACTGGCATGAAAGTAATCTGAATTCAAAAAAAAAAAAAAAAAAATGCCAGCCCCCCTCTTTTTAAGAATCAAATGGATGTCCCCTTTGCCAGATTTTACTGTAAAATTACATAATTTGTTGGTCTCCTCAAGCTCATACTATGACAAATTAAATATATTAATAATTGGTTTCACACTACAATATAGTATTTATTTTATTTATTTATGTTTTGTGTTAATTGCTCTTATTTCCAGAGGAAAGAAATGTCCATCAATATTTTTTTCTGTGGTTTTAAATCTGATGCACAGTACACTCTAAATAAATTTCCAATGGATAGTTTATACTAGTTTTCATGTGACATATTTTCTCTATGAGTTATTTCCCTTGGCTGCTATCTTGATAGTCAACCTGGTAATTTTTCCTCTGTCTTACCAAATTTAAGAGGGTCTAGCAGAAATATTTTGGGAAAAATCTTTATAGAATAAAAATCATGAAATAAAGGAGACTTTTACAAATATATATTTTTCAGAAAAAGAATCCTTCTTACCCCACAATGGCCAGTATAAAAAGTTAAAGGATGAATAATGAAGGAATATGAGCATGTCGACCTCCAATATGGCGGCCGATGAGAAATAACTCTTGCTAATTTGGGTCTGCTGAAAACTATCTATAGCTTTAGCAATAAATTAATTTTTTAAAATTTAAATTTAAGGGTTATTTTTCTCAGGTATGTTCATTACACAGAATACAAGAGTTCAAATTTTAGATTTAATTTGTAGGGTTATTTTCCCTTGTATTCAATAAAGGGTGGTGACAATTTTGTAAAGATGCTTTCATCAAATGATTTAAATGCTAGCATCTTTTTTCTGGTTACATGAACATGTATTATGTATATACTTACTGTTAATGTTATTTAGAGCTACACTTCAATCATTTTTAGTAATTAATGAACCAGCACTTTGAAATTTCTTAGTCCAGCAATAGATAGTTTTCATATGACATATTTTCTCTCCGAGTTATTCCCCTTGGCCGCCATCTTGGTGGTCAACCTGGTAATTTTTCCTCTTTGTCTTACCAGATTTAAGATGGTGTAGCAGAAATATTTGGGGGAAAATCTTTGTAGAATAAAAACTATGAAATAAAGGAGGCTTTAACAAATTTATATTTTTCAGGAAAGGAATGCTTCCTACCCCAAAATGGCCAATATTAAAAGTTAAAGTTGGTTGAATAATGAAGGAATATGAGCATGTTGACCTCCAATATGGCAACCAACGGGAAATAACTCTTGCTAATTTAGGCCTACTGAAAACTATCTATACCATGAAAAGCCTGGTAAACTTGGGTAAAAACTTCATATGAGTATATTACTAAGAAACTTCCTATTATTTTGTTATCATGTTTTTTTATTTGCACAGAAATCATATAGACAGGCACTCTGAAAATTTTAAGGACACTTCACTTGGTATTTACTCCCATGAAAAGTGACCCACTGAAAAATGTGAAGGGTTTAACTAATGTTGGTTTACATGTATTTTTAATCTTCCCAGTATTTGAATTGTGTTTAATATTTAAAAAAATATTAAGAGTCAGAGAACACAACTACTTAAGTTTATCGGAGATTTGATGAACCATACAAGGAAGGTGGGTGAACCCTATTAATTTTTAGGTCAAAAAGGGTCAAATGTTAATTAAACTGCATACTCGGAAAAAAATATGGCTCTTTGCTTGAGATATATACAATTTATATAGAGACTATCTATGACAGGTGGAAGATCCCTATCTAGAAAAAAGTTTTCATTTAAAAAAAAAACCGCACTAATCTATATTTTGATGTATAAAGTAATTAGGGAGGTTGAGTTCTCTCTCTCTCTCTCTCTCTCTGCATTGCTAATAAAATCTTGGTGACCCTAGTGACATATTTGGACAATTGTAATGCACATAACTAACATGTAAATGTTTTTCAAAGTTATTAAATTTCTATTTGAAGTAACTATAACGTGATCTAAGACCCCCTCAGTTGGTATGACAGGTGGTTGGTAGACCAAGGGTTGTCCGCTCAATATCTTGAGAACCATTTGCTTGGCACATCAAATTTGTTACACTGGTATCCCCTGAAGAGTAGATATCCCTTATCGATTTTGATATCCCAAGGTCAAGGGTCCAAGTACTCTAGAGATGAGAAGATATTGACCACTCAATATCTCCAAAATCCGAGACATCAAACTCGGTACTCTGGTACCTCTGTAGAATTGAGGTCAAGGGTCATCACACAAGACATAAGAAGATATTTTTTGCTCCATATTTTGAGAACATTTTGCTTAACAGATATCAAACTCGGTAACTGTTAGATATCTCCTATTGATTTTCAAGTCGACAAGATCAAGGGTCAGCTAGACATTGGTAAATATTGGCCTCATTAGGCCATCTTTAAATAATTATTTGTTTGCACTCTCCTGACCAACTGGTTAAAATTGACCAGACTCAAAACTTTTTTAACCTGCAAGAATTTATATTTTTTAAACCCCCCCCCCCCTTGAATTTTCTCATCTCATCAACAAGCATGTTAAAAATTTCTGGAAGAAAAATTTTCCCAGCTACCTTCTGACCCCCTTTTTTTTTTACTCTGAGTTGGAAGAGGGCAAACAAACTTTCTTTTAAAGATGGCTTTATCTTGTGAAACCTTTGATAGGCATCAAACTTGGTACTATTTATCACTTGACCTCTGATAATTTTATGGTTAAAGGTCAAACAATTTAGGAGGAATTGTCAGCTTAGTATTTTGAGAACCATTTGCTTTACAGACATCAAATTTTGTTCACTTGTACCCTCTAAGAAGTAAATTATCTTTAATGATAATATAGAAGTCTAATAGAGATCAAATTTAGTATGAAGTTTATCCATCAATAGTTGATACCCCCCCCCCCCTGGAATTTTTTATTTTTGGAAAACATAGTGATTGCTGTATCTAAAATCAAACATTATCTAATAATTTATTGTGACCATTTTAAGGGTTATTATAAAAATGTTGTTTTGTAGATGCCTCGTAAGAAGTACTGGAAGAAGAGCACTTCCAAGAAAGAGTTACAGACTGACAAGACTGAGGAGACTGGCCTCATGAAAAACAGTAAAACAGTGTCTGACCTGGACTTCACTGAGGAGACTGGCCTCTTTAAAAACAGTAAAACAATGTCTGACATTAGAATGACTGAGGAGACTGGCCTCGTGAAAAACAGTAAAACCAATGTTGACCCTGAGGAGCCTGCCCTCAGGTTACAAAAAAACAGGAAAACCAAAAAAACTTGTCAAACAAATTTGCAGAATGAACTTTGTGAAAAAGATTTGCTCAATGAACTTTGTGAAAAAGATTTGCTCAATGAATCTGCTCAAATGAATTTGCAAAATAGTATTGTTGAAAAAAGTCTAGCAAACAAAACTATCACCGAATCTTCACTGAATACTGATAGCAATTTAGTTGGAGAAAAAACGATACAGAATAATTACGAAGGTGACAAGGTATGTACTAGGGAAAAAGTATTCGGGTCATTCTATCAGGGGGACATAAGATTTTCAACATTTTCAAGAGGAAGTCAGTGTACTTGCAATGCTCTTGCCATGCTGATTAAATGTTATGAAGGATTTTCATTTACTTCAGAATTCATAGACAGAACTTTAATATCAGGAGACCAAATTTATGTGAACACTGTAAGAAGTTTGAAACTAAGAGGAAAGTTTCTCAACAAACTTTTAAATTTTGATGAATTGCCAACAAACATATCACTTGGAGAGAATCATCATGTTATTAAAAAATTTGAAACAATTTGGGGATTGGTTGTCTCTGATGAACAAAATAGGCAAATTAAAACATTGCATTTGGCTTTAGAAGAGGCATTTCAAATGTCAAGATATTTATTGATAATGATAGGAGCCATTTGTTCTGCTGTATATAAAGTGTCAAACAATGAGTACTACTTTTTTGACTCGCATTCACATGATAGTGATGGCATGTCTTCATGTGAAGGTAAATCTATAATAGTGCTCAACAGGAGTATTGATGACCTAGTGTCTTATATGTACAACATGTATAACAGCATGCATATTGATCTTGAAGTGCAGTTTGAAATTTTACCCATCTCAATCACAACTTTATATCATAGCTTCCCAGAAAATGATCAGTTGCAGAAAAAGTTTTACAGAATGGATGAAAACCTACCATCAACAATAAAACCAAACTCTCAAATTGAATCCAGGAAAACATATATGAGAGAATACATGAAGAAAAAGAGACAGAATGAAGAATTCAAACATGTTGAAAGAAACAAAGATGCCAAGGCCAAACATATGAAAAGACAAGATGATGATGTAAGAAATAAAAAAAATCAAAGGGAAACTGCAAGAAAAGTGAAAAGACAGAATGTTGAAGTAAAAGACAAAGAAAACAAGAGGGAAACAACTGCAAGAACAATGAAAAGGCAAAATGTAGATGTGAGAAGAAAAGAAAAAGAAATGGATAAAGCTGCAAGAAAGTTGAAAAGACAAACTAATGAAGTAAAAGAGAAAGAAAATGAAAGAGAAACAACTGCAAGAAAAATAAAAAGGCAAAATGTAGGTGTGAGAAGAAAAGAAAAAGAAATGGATAAAGCTGCAAGGAAGTTGAAAAGACAAAATAATGAAGTAAAAGAGAAAGAAAATGAAAGAGAAACAACTGCAAGAAAAATAAAAAGGCAAAATGTAGAAGTGAAAGAGAAAGAAAGAATAAAGGATAAGTCTGCAAGGAAGTTGAAAAGATTAAATAATAAAGTAAAACAAAAAGAAAATGATGGAAATAGAATTTCAAAAAGAAAATATAGAGAAAACCCTCTCGTTCTCGAAAAACAACGATTAAAAATGCAAGCTCGAAGAAATGACTTTTCTTACAGACAAAATGAAATGCTGAACAATAAACAAAGGAAACAAGATAAAAGAATAGATGAAGAATACTGTAACAAAGAAAGTGAAAGAAATAGGCAAAGACAGTTTGGAATACACATACAGGATTGCATCATCAATTTTCATGAAAAGATAAAACATGGTCCAGTTTTTGTATGCTCATGTTGTCATCAAACATGGTTCAAAGAAAGTGTTTTAAAAGTGCAAAACACAAATTTGGATGACTTAAGTAAAATCAAATATCTTACTGGTATTATTTCTGTTGGAAATGCAGAGTGGATTTGCAATACTTGCTATTCATCAATTAGAGAAGGAAAAGTACCCAAGCTGTCTGTTCTAAATGGTATGATATGGCCACCTAAGCCAAGAGAATTGAATTTGTTTCCATTAGAAGAAAGACTAATATCACTTAGAATTCCTTTCATGCAAATTAGAGAGTTACCAAGGGGTGGACAATATTCTGTGAAAGGAAATGTTGTGAATGTTCCTGTGGATATTCAACCTACGGTAAATAGCTTGCCTAGAAAGATGGATGAAAATATCACAGTTCCTGTTAAGTTAAAGAAAAGGCTTTGTTACCAAAAATGTGATTATCATGAAAATGTACGACCAGCAAAAGTACTGATGGCATTACATTGGCTTTTGAACAACAGTGACTTCTATAAGAATGCAAACATTAATGTTGATGAAAATTGGTTTCAAGAAATCACATCTTCAGCAAATGAAATCATTCAAGAATTAGTTCAAACACAGACAAGAAGAGATCAAAATATTGATAATATTGAGACAGATTATGATGATGATGAATTCTGTGAAGTAGATGGAGTTGGTAGGGATGGTAATTGTGATACTCTGTTAGATGACGCTTCTCGAGATATGAATCAGATATACACCTTTGCTCCAGGAGAAGGACAACGGCCCATTAGTTTATATCAAGATCCCACTGCAGAATATTTATCATTTCCAAGAATATTTTGTGGAAAGGGAAGATTACAAGATGATGAAAGACAAGTTCATGTTTCGTATGCAGATATAGCTAAATGGGAATTGAGAAGTGTTGATAGACGTGCTGCCCAGTCTGTTCCAAATTTGTTTTTCAAGTTGAAAAAAATACAAATGAAGCAAGTTACAGACAAGTGCAACCTGGCTCTTAGGAAATGCAAAACCAAAGGAAAATCCATGACAGCAAATGAAATGAAAAATCTTGAAAATGTGAGTAATCTTATTAGACACAATGAAGGTTTCTTTGTCTTTAGACAGTTACGAAATTCACCTGCATATCTTGAGACTAGAAAAAAAGATGTATTTGCTATGATCAGACAGCTAGGTTTACCAACATGGTTTATATCACTGTCTGCAGCTGATACAAGATGGAATGATCTCATCAGAGCACTTGGAGTGTTAAATGATGGAAAAGAATACACTGATGAAGAAATTGATAACATGTCATGGTTTGAAAAATCAAAATTGGTACAAAAGGATCCTATCACATGCACTAGGTACTTTGATCATAGGTTCCGTATGTTTGTGAACTTGGTGTTGAGGAGTGACCACCATCCAATTGGCTTTGTAAAAGACTTCTTTTATAGAATTGAATTTCAGCAAAGAGGGTCACCACATGTTCATATGATAGTTTGGATAGAAAATGCACCAAAATATCATGAAAATAATGAAAAGGAGATAGTAAATTATGTAGATAAATACCTCAAATGTGAAAAGAATGAAGAGGATGATTTGACAGGCTTACAAGTACACAAACACTCACAAACATGCAAAAAGAGAGGTAAAGCTGTATGCAGATTTGGCTTTCCCCTTCCTCCTCTTGAAGAGACTTTGATTTTGGAGCCACTAGAGTGTAATGTTGACAAATACAGGGAAATGTATGAAGAAATTCAAAAACAGCTAAATGATATGAAAAATGGATGTGATTTGTCCTACAAGGAACTCCTGAGCACAGTACTAAAGATATCTGAGGAAGATTACATTAAATGCATTAGAAGTTCACTGAGAGGTCCAAAGGTTTTTCTAAAGAGAAGGCCATGTGATATGAGGGTAAACTCATACAACAGTGTTGTTCTTGATGCTTGGAAAGCTAACATTGATATTCAGTATATTTTGGACCCATATGCATGTGCAATGTATATTGTTTCATATATAAGTAAATCTCAAAGAGGGATGAGCGATTTACTTAACAGAGCTGCAAAGGAGGCTAGAGAAGGAAATCTTGACATAAAAAGACAGATACGTCATATTGGAAATCATTTTCTCAACAGTGTAGAAGTTGGAGCACAAGAAGCAGCATATTTAGTATTACAAATGCCAATGACGAAGGCATCAAGAGATGTTGTTTTTATCAACACAAGTCCATCAGATGATCGAGTAATTCTCATCAAAACAGATGCTGAATTGGAAAAGTTGACACCAAATTCAACAGATGTGGAATGCAGCAATGTTATTAAACGGTATGCAAAACGCCCAAAACAACTTGAGAACTGGTGTTTAGCTGATTATGTATCACAACTAGATGTTGTTTTCCCTAAAGATAATGAACAAGAGTTCACTGAAAATGAAGTGAATGATGATGATGATCAGGACAACAAATCACATGATGAAGATGAATCAGATCTTGATTTCGGTGAAACTGATACACTTGTTACTCTGAGAAATGGCATAAAGATAAGACGACGAAAAGTACCCAGGGTAATTAGATATGTGCGGTTTAGTATCAAAACTGATCCAGAAAATTACTATAGAGAAAAACTGATGTTGTTTATGCCTTGGAGAAATGAATCCATCGATCTTATTTCAGGAACGAACACATTTGAGATGTCATTTCATCTGAAGAAGTCATTTCTTACACACAAGGTCAAGGAATATGAATTCAATGCTGAACAGCTTGATGCAGCTTTGCAAATGGCAATTGAGGATTTTTCAGAAGCTTTTGATGAATTGGCACCAAATGCTCAACAAAGAGAAGCAGAAGATGAGAATGAGGGATCTCTTGAATCTGAAAACTTTATTCAGTTTAATCCTGAGAGGCCTATTGAACAGAGACAGTATGATATAGGAGCTGATATTGGCATTCCATCTACAAGACAAATAACAGAAGAAAGTTCTGTAAGATTACCAGACAGTGAATACTTGAAACTTTTAGAAAGTCTAAATGTAAAGCAGCGGGAATTTTTCAATCATGTCTTGCAGTGGGTCAAAACAAAGACATAACCTATTTACTCATTTTTATCTGGAGGTGCTGGTGTTGGCAAATCTGTTTTGATTAGGGCACTTTATCAAGCTCTGCACAGATATCTATGTTCCATAGAAGGTGAAAATCCAGACGACATAAGAATACTTCTGTGTGCATATACTGGCAAGGCAGCATATAACATTGGAGGGGCAACTATAGCATCTGCTTTCCATCAAAAAATTAATCAAAGTCAACAAAGCTTGCATTGTGATGAATTGAACACTTTTCGTACGAAGTACCAAAACCTAAAATTGATCATTATTGATGAGATATCGATGGTTGGTAATAGGTCATTAGCACTCATTGACAGTCGTCTACAGCTTCTCACAGGCATCAAGAAACCATTTGGTGGCATTAGTATCATAGCTGTTGGTGATTTCTTTCAACTTAAACCTGTGATGGACCGTTGGATCTTTCAGGATTTAAATCATGCTGCTCAAGCTCTTGCAAACAATCTTTGGAAGGAGCATTTTTATATTTTTGAGTTGGATGAAATAATGCGCCAGAAAGATGATCTTGAGTTTGCTCAACTTCTTAATCGCCTTCGTTACAATGCAATGACAGCAGAAGATATGAATGTAATAAACAAATGCATGATAACGGAAACAAGTGACAATTATCCACACCATGCTCCTCATCTCTTTACACAGAATTCTAAAGTAGATGCATACAACAATCAGTTGATTGAAAAACTTGAAGGAGAAAAGGTGACAGTGAATTCAGTGGATACTGTTCTTAAGGATTATTCAAAGGAACTTAAGGAAAAGCTCCTCAGGTCTCTATTGAAAGCAGATGATGTTAGCAAAACTGCAAATTTGATGCAAAAATTGACTCTTGCTGTCGGGATGATATATGATATCTCAGTCAATGTTGATGTATCTGATGGTTTAACAAATGGGTCATCATGTAAGGTAGAATTAATTGAAAGGAGAATGGAAGGCATATCAAGGCCAAGCATCATTTGGGTAATTTTTTTTGACTCTGCTATTGGGAAAACAACCCGCAAGAAATACAAACATTTGTTTCATGATGGAATTACCGAGGACTGGACACCAATTTTTGAAGTTCAGCGGTCTTTTGTATTGAATTACAATACATTTCAAAGGATTCAATTTCCATTACGACCAGCTGCAGGGAAAACAGTTCATAAAGCCCAAGGTTGCACTGTTATGAAATTGTAATTGATTTGTCTCAGACTAAAGCAAGAAAAAATCCTCATATTCATTATGTAGCACTAAGCCGGGTACGTTCAGTAGATCATCTTCACATCCTAAACTTTAATGAGCAGGCTTTGGCTATGGATGAACAAGTGGTAGAGGAAATGGAAAGAATGAAAAAAGATGTACCACTACAACTTTGTTATGTCCCATTATACCAGGTTGATTTGCATTCTTTCAAAATTGCTTTCAACAATTGTAGATCACTTCATAAACACTTTGCGCAAATTCAAAATGAACCAAATATTGTTGCATCAGATGTAGTTGGATTCGCAGAGACAAGATTAACTAGTGCAGATATAGCAGGGAATTATCAACTAGAGGGATACACAGCAGTATTTAACCATGAGCATACAGATAATATGGATAGACGTCCACATCATGGAACAGCAATGTACGTGAAAAATGATTACAAAACAACCTGCGTCTCAAAGCTAAACAGTGGTTCTATGGAATTCATCATGGTAAATATACAACTAAACCAAAGTAGAGATGTCCAAGTTGTAGTAATTTACAAATATCCATCTTGCTCTTTTGGGGATTTTAAACAACTTGTGGAAATGCATATAAAACCCTTGATTGATGACCAGAAAGACTTGGTATTCTTAGGAGATTTTAATTTTGATTTGTTTTCTGGGCATACAGAATTTTTAACATTTATGGAAAAAGGCTTTAATTGTAAACAAATTGTGAGTAAGACTACTCATGACTCTGGTTCTAAACTTGATTTGATTTTTACAAACATATCCCCATGTGGAACAGATGTGATTGAAGCATACTGGTCAGATCATAAAATGGTGTACTGCACATTTGATAAGACTATGCATTAAATACAATGGGGCACCAAAGTAAAATTTCAGAGGGAGATGCGTAAGAATGCCCCCTCCCTCATCCCCTTTGTCCCAGTCTTTTATTATATCCCTCAAAGTTTGAGGGGTATATTGGAATCAACATGTCCATCTGTCTGTGGCTTTGTCAATATCTAAAGCTTTTTTTTTTTTTTTTTTTTTTTTTTTTGTAATTTTTATGATAATTTCTTGACCATCTATAAAGGTATATTCAGACAAGACAAAGGTCAGAGAGTTCAAATGATATAATTCTGACAGACAAAATTTTGGTTTAAGATTAAAAACCATTACATATTTTGGCAAAGGTTGCTGATGAAAAAGGGGTCTTTCATGATCTCATGCCATGATTGTTTGTATAAGGTTGTATGGTAGTACAATGGTAGAGATTATCGTGACCCTCAGCTTATTACAGTCATCTCAACAAGATTCAGGCCATGGAAATGTGGAGTATAATTTTGCAAGATTGCAGAGAAGTATATGTCTTTCCAAGTTGCATTGTTGGGGTATTAGTCCTATTTTGGCATTTTTATATTTTTTTAATTATAAAATAACCTTTGAAAATATGAATTTGTACTTTATACTTGTAATATTATATATATGTTTTTGAGATGACATTTAAATTTTTAACCTGAATGTCCTTTGCATATTTCATTCTTATTGTATTGATGTATATAATTATATTTACTTGCTTAATTAAGATTTCCTTTGTAAAAAATACCATAAATAATTTCATTTTTTTCTATTACAAGTTGCACTGAATTCTTAATGCATATTTAAATTAAAATGATAAGGTCATACTGTATTCATACAATAATTACATTTTCACTAATTACCTGTAGGTCTACTGTTGAAGTCTCAGCTTATTTCTCAAGATTTGTAAAATTCTGAACAACTCTTTTCATGTAAATGCATATATACACCTGATATAACAATGTGTACTTTTGTATGTATTGTTTGTAAATTTGTTGAGTTTTTCTTTACTTACATTATAGTTACATGTAATTCTGTATATTCATTTTGTAGTTAATTTTATAGGATATATCTTTTACATTCTGAATACATGTATTACCGCTTCGAGGGATAGTGTCTTACAAAGAGTATTGATGGTTCAGAAATCATCCTCCATTTGTCCCTTTATGACATTCAATGGATTATACTTTATACAGTGAAACTGAGTTTTTCAGTTGGGAGCTTTTCATTGTGATACCTTGTGATCATTCTGCAATGGAAGGATATTCTTTCATAGACTACCGTGATTGTGACTCTAGACCAATGCCATTATCTGTGATTCTAACTCTTTTTAGGCTACTGTATGTGATTTTGACACACCAAACAGATATAATAAATCACTGAAATGATTAAGTGGCACCTTATAGAATGTGGAAACCACCGATTTGGATCTCATCATGGACAGAATTGTAACATTTGCTCAATTATTTTGAACATTTACTTGCATGGATATGTGCCAGTCAATTTTCTAACTTGCTAATGCTAGAAAAGTATGATAAAATTGGTCACAAAAATAGTAAATATACTTTAATTTCATGTTATTTGTATTTTGAACTTCTTTTTAAAACATGCTTGTTGAAAGCATGTGTATAAATAACATACAATGCTTAGAAGTTAAATAATTACATTACACAGTAGATGTTTGATTGTGAAACCTCAGATTTGTTGATTCAGATGAATTTCACCTAGCATATGGAACATGTAGATTTTGTGATTATCGAGAAACTAATGATGATTTCTATTAGTTCAACTTTATTGTGTACAAAATGTATAATTTACAGGTAAGTATGGAAAGAGGGGGTCAATGGCCAGCCCGTAAAGGGAGGTAAACCTACCTCTTTCACAAAAAATGTTAGAAAAAATGCTCTTAAATATGATAGCTCATGATATTAATACATTTAGAATTCAAAGAAAAAATGCAGAAGAAAGAAAAAGAGCTCCTTTAATTTTTCAATAACATTCTTAGAATCTGAGGTTCTGGTACTGCAGTTATATACATACAAAATAAACATCATTATTGTCATTTAGTATTGAACAATTTAAAGGCAAAATATTAATATGTATATGGTAAAACCTTTTCTTTCTCAATCGCTTACACATAATCTTTCCCTTTTTCGTTTTTCGTTGGGAAAGGTTACATTTATTGAGTGATTATATTTTTTAAATGACCAACATAAGACACCCATGTATATTATGTCTGGATTTTCATGTGAGTACTTAAATTTTTCCATGCTGTTTATAACTTTTCATTTATTATTTATTGTTATTTGAAATTTTTAACTTCAGATTTAATTATAATGATTACTAAATGCATGTTTTAGACATTACTTCACATGTATATACAAGAAAGTTGTTAAACAACAAATGAGTAATATATTTCAAATTATATATACTAGTCTCAAATGTGTCAACAAAATTTGATTTGTACCAGCTTGTTTAACATTTTATCTCTTATTTTTTTCTCTGAAAAGTTGCATAGTGTGAAGTGCAGATTATCTCTCAAGACTTACATAAGTTTCTTGTAAATGAATAAAGTTTTCTAACACAATCATAATTATGCATTTTTCTTATTGACTGAAGGGAGCTAAATAACTGATTGTACTTGTTAATGAAGAATAATCTTGGAAAAGCTTTGAGGTCATAAAAGAAATAATTGTATATACATGTCCAAAGCCTTCATACTTCTAGGTATAAGTACACATATGGTCCGTGAAATTGAAATTCAAGCATTTCCATAGTGTGTGGATTTAATTCAATTGATATAATATAAGGTCATAATATTTCATGTCAGTATAAAGGTGAAAAAAAAAAATTCTTAAATTTTGAAGAACTGGAACCAAGATGACTCAGGTGAGCGATGTGGCCCATGGGCCTCTTGTTACATATTACTACAGCTGTTTATAT